GATAGGATAGGATAGGATAGGATAGGATAGGATAGGATAGGATAGGATAGGATAGGATAGGATAGGATAGGATATATCAACAGTTAACTAGAATCAATTCTGCACTGAGGTGCCTTATAGTAGGAGAAAATTAGGCTTATGCAAAAGTACCCAGAATACATAGGATAACCCATTTTTTTCTAATATTGGCTCCACTTTTGGGGCCAGTTCAAAGTGCTCATTTTAGCCTATAAAGCTAAGGGTCTTTCAGGAAAGGGGCCCCAGCCATGGAATTGCTTGCTGATGGAGGTTCTCCTGGGATCATTTTTTTAAATAGTTTAGACTAGTGTTTCTCAACCTTGGAAGCTTGAAGGTATGTGAACTTCAACTCCCAGAATTCCCCACCAGCATGGGAATTCTGGGAGTTGACGTCCACACATCTTCAAGTTGCCAAGGTTGAGAAACACTGGTTTAGAAATTAAGCAGAGACCTTATAATTCCTCTAGACCATTTTAAACCAATTTCACTTGTCTTTTTACCACCAGGAAGTTCAGCGTTTTATTTTAAAACGCATCGTTACATTCATTTTTAAATCTATGCTGTGCAACAGTAGGACTACTGGTGAATTGAAGAGAAAGGATGTAAAGCCAAGTAAATGAACAAATGAAATGTGGGAAGCTTTACAGAAATCCAGCGCATCACCTGAGGTGATGCAGGCTATTCTCCCCCATCAGCTGCCCTTTGTCGCTTTAATCTCTGTCTGCAGCGGCCTTTCCAGGGTGCACTGTCAGCTCCATCACCTACTGGTTGGGAATGATGGGGGTTCAAATCTAATACATCTGGAAGCAACTAGGTTGGGGAAGGTTGACATGACCTCAAGAATAAGAGTTTCCTTTTCACAGCTTCAGAGCGCGTCCCTGACACCTGGGCCAGCCACATTTCACGCTTCCTTTCTCCTTTCCCCTTGCAGGACCAACCCATTTGCTCATGTTAAGCTGAAACGTACGGTGACCAACGATCGCTCAGCCCCACTCATCCAGTGAAGGGTGCAATGTTGAGTGGAGATAGACCGCTACCCTGCTTTTCCCTCTTTCCCCCACCACGTGGCCTTTCCCATCTAATAAGCTGCTTCTGGCCCAGAGTAGTTTCCGCAGGCCAGGCTGGACCTGGCTTGCCACCTCTTCCCCACCCTCCCCAATGGCACATGAAAGCACTACAGGTCCACAGACTCGACTCACAGCCAGGAGGCTGTGGGGTTTCACTTGGCGGCAGCAGTTCCAGGACGGGAATGCGAGCCAACAGCAGGAGGACAGGAACAGCTGCAGGGGAGACGGAGTTTGGATGCAAGTGATGGAGGCAGGTGTAACAGTTGGATAAACAGAAGCAGGAGAAGGGTGAAGGATGTGGGACAGGTGGAAGGAGGTCAGATGAAAGGAAAGAGGTTAGAAGAGAACTATGCATTGCATGTTACAGAACATTTAAATGAAGGGAAATTCAGTGAATTTGGGCATTTGAATGTGATTTCTATTCCTTACAACTCAGAGACAAAGTTTCCACTGATCAGACTACGTCTGTTTTGTTACCCATATTTTGACTAAAACACCACTGATTCAGTGGTATGTGCTCAGAAAGAAAGTATTTTGAAACCAGAATGAAGGTGTGCTTAAATCGATGATTTTAAGGTTTCGTTTGTTTGTTTTTAATTCAGCAGGTCTTAAATGTATCTCTCTTTAGATTTGGTTCTGCTAGCCAGTTGAGTAATTTAATGACTGCAGTTATCATATATCACCTGGGTCATGTAAAATTTCCATTCTGGAGTAAGGTTTTACACTAATCATCACATAAGTCATAGATAAACAGGTTGCATATGGACTTCTGATGGAAAGTCCACACTAATCTTTTCAACTGTGTAGCAGTAAGAGATGTTAGCTTGAGGATAGAAAGGATAGGCAAAACTGGTTTAGGGGAATAAGAGAGAAGCATTAAGAGGAATTGGTAAATCTAGCAAAACCGAATTCAAAGCTGATTCACACATGTAATGTACCTTGTCTGATATTTCATTGCTGAATTATTCAACGATGGGTCCAGCTTACTCAAAAAAATAGCATCACTTGGAAGTGATTATGAATTGGCTGTACTGAAAAGCATTAGATTTGACTAGCTATGGTGTTAGTTTTGTACTGGCCTCTTAAGACATGGAAACCATCTGTTTGTATTACAGTCATCAAGTGATAAACATACAAATGTGAAACAGCTCTGGGGAGCTGGGTATGTGAACAGCTCCACTGAACAAGTAGAAGATTGTAAATTATGAAAAAAAACTCTGTTGACGATTGACGTGCTGTCACTGCATTCATTGCATGATTGTAGAGATATCTGAATTTTCTTAACAAGGCATGGATTGTGGGTTGAAAAGGAGCCAGGATTTACGATTCCTGGGTTCTCTGAATCTGAAGTGGGTCTGTGGTCTGCTGAATAGTCCATGAAGTGATCCATGCTGCTAGCGTGTTTTGATTCCTCTTCAAGGAGTTGTTGAGATCTTTTCATGGAAAATACGAAAATGTTACCATTAAACATAGGCCACACATTTTGTAATTTATATTGGTTTCTGTAGTGAATTTAACCAGAGGTTTATCACACTATGATATATGATGGTCTTAAAAAATGTAGAGACTTTCCCCTGCTCCACAGTAACATGGGATAGAAAGAGAAACACCAGGAGTCAGGACTTCTGTGTGTGGAAGGAGATAGTAGATTAAAGCAAGGAAGTTGCCAATTTTTTTAAAAAAAGTGTTTATTTAATTTCAGTTGCCAGAATGTATAATAAAGACAGTTATCCAGTAGTATTCTTGTCCTGGCAGACCAAACTGCAGGCATTTTGGTCAAAGCCAAAATAGAGTAATTCAGCTATATTGTCTGAAGAAAGAAATATTTTTCCCAGTGAGGAAAGGAAATGCCATCTCACTTTCCTTGCCCCTCACACCCCTCTCCTTCTGACAAAGAACCCAGTCATTTAAGAGTCAAAGTATGCCCCCTTGCAGGCTTAGCTATGCTATTACAGAATCCTTTACAGACTCTAGTTACATGCTTACTGATCTTGATTTAATCTTGAATGCAGTGGCATAAATAAGCAACAGCATCCTTCTTGGGATAAGTTAAATAAATACACAAGATGTCTACCTTTGGTGAAACTCACAACGATATAGTTGAACTGTGGCCCTGGAGCAACTTTCAGTAGTTAAGAAGAACATGGGACTGACAGAAAGATGACAAGATCAGTATTTTATCAGTGAAAGAAGAGTTTCCGGTTTTGAAGGTGCATGGTTCATAGAGTTTTACAAAGTCACCTTCCACTTGTAGCTCAGCTGTGTTTCCTGATTCTTTTTCTAATTTGTGAAAAATAAAGACAACAAGACAGACTAGCTAGATAGCATGTTTTGGATTGCGAATGCTCGGAGCTGTCCCTGTGCTCCAGTTTGCAAACATTTGCTTTACTTTGCAGTATTAAGGCCTCTTTCACGTCAAAGCTGATGTTTCCCCTTTTCCAGGTGGAAGTACTTGACAGTGTTCGAAAACCTAGTTACAATAGAAATGAGAGGTGTATTAAAAAAAAGATCAGCGGCATAAGCTAGGGCCCGTACAAAGAAATGGTTGGTAACCTGAATCCTACTCTGTATTTCCAAAATCCAACATTTACTGTAAGTTGAAGAGGTGTGGACATTGCATATATTGGTTCACATTTCAATTCAAGGTGGCCACAAAGAAAAGAGGGTTTAAAGAGGAAAGGTAAACAGTATTTACAGTCTCCTTTTATGTTTACAGTATAATGTCTATAACTGGAAATTGCTCATTTCCTCTGCTCAAGATGTATGTGTTCAAGATGCAGGAACAGGCATGTATTTATGGGGCAGGGTATATGCGTCGGTTCCCATCTGGCATGTTGCTTCAAAAGCATGAAATATGGGTGTACTTTTTCATCCCTATTTTTATTACCCATCAAATCAAACTATTTTCTGAAATAATTTATTATTGAATTCTGGAGAGCCAAATATGAAATGTCGAGGGGGGGAATGTTGAAAATGGAAGGCCAGTTTAGAAATATGTTTGCAAATTAAGCACAGTAACACAGAATTCTCTGCATAACAATGTGGTTGCCAAATGTGTGTGTGTGTCTGTATACAGATACACACATATCTTAGATCTCTGAAGCTGGGAACTTGTGCCTTATTAACAGCAAGTTGCTAATTTTATCTTACATAGGGCTAAAAGGTATACATATTATCTTTGCATTTCCTGCCCTTTGTTAGAAATAACTCCAGTCACCTCATGATTGTTGCCCCGTGCGTGTGTGTGTGTGTGTGTGTGTGTGTGTGTGTATTTCAGCTGAAATGCATCCGGGACATTTTGAATCTCCTTCACTTGAAAGCCTGAAGAATGAATTCAAGTTATAGAATGTTCATCCCTAAGATCAAAGTTTACAGATTCTGCAATTGATGTATGAAAATTGGAATGATGGAAACTTTTGACATTAAGACGCTCTGCTTTGAGAGTACAGAGGAGGTGATGAACATGCCAAAACAAAATCAAAATGGCCTTCACATTTTTCCTAAAAAGAGACAGCTCCTATGTGATTCGTTCTTCTTTTTTGTATAGACCAAAAAAAAAAAAAAAATGAAAAACAGTGAATGCAGGATAGCAGCTACCAAATGTGAAGTTGCCATACTATGCTTTTAATAGCATTGTAAACAGATTGTAAAGAAAAGGAATTTGATCATCCTGTACCACTTTAGAAATTTGGAAAACACTGGAATAACAATATTTTTATCTTCTAGGTTGGACCATGTAAGATAACTGGTTTATCAAGTGATTACATGTATGCCATGGTTTCTTACCCGTTGGTAAATGATTTTTCTGTTTTACTCAAAAAAAAAAAAAAAGTGTAACCCTGCACTTTGGGTGTTCAGTGTAGCTTGGACATAATATATAAGAAATAACGAGGTCCCATCTGAAGTCAGACTCTGTGTGTGCACATATGAGAGAGAGAGGGGTGGATTGTTGCATCAGGATATATATTATCAGCTGTGCAGATGTTGAGGTCTCATTAGCTATGTATATAACTTCTTGTTGATATGTCCTAATTTTAAAATTAATAAAGTTTAATATAAATGTGTGCCTTTCTGGGTTTTCTCATTATCTTGAAGCAAAATGATAGCAGAGCTTTTCGTTTTAGAATGAAACTGCTCTTTGTTAGAGAAACTTTTAAAGGTTTCACCAGTTTATCTGCCTCCATGAAGTTTTCCTTACAAATCATGGCTCCACCAACTCCTTGTCTGATGTTTTCAAATTTGAAAAGGTCCCTTTGCCTTCCACCAACTAAACTCTGTCCCCCCCTTGCATTCCCATTTACACAATCTGGAGAAAACCCTGGCTTTTATGTGTAACAGAATAAGATGCTCTTAAAGTTCTGGGATTTAAATATTTCTCCATCCCCATATATTCTTTCCCAGAGTGTTCCCACTGATGAAACATCATGCCTGGATCAAGATCTCTGTAAAACCTCTGTCCATCCATCTATTTCCCCAACACAGATTATCCACAGTGCATCCTTCTGTACCCTATTAAGCCATCCATTCCTTAAATATACACATTATTATTTCACTTATCGACCCAACATAATTCAGTTTCAATCCCCAATGGAATCATGGATATAGAAGACAAATGGTCATAGGTGTATCTATTCTTTCATTCCTCCCACCAGTCTTTTTAAAGAATACCACTTTGTTTAAACAAAACACACATACACACCCCTCTTCTGTTTTGACAGAACATTTGATAAAGATGACTGTCCCTTTCCTTTTTTATTCTGTGCTACAAATGGCAATGGAAATGGGAGTTATTGATATAGGACCCAAACTTTTGCTTCCCTCAGAATTTACAAAAATGGGATTTTGGTCCAGTGTGGAAGCCATGATCACAGAGAGAATGTTTTTGTCATGGCAAGAATGGAAGCTAGACAAAACCAAAATGTTCACACTGCCTACCAACAAGCGGCAGAATGTGGAGGCCTGATGCCATGCAAAACCAGCCAGTTTCCAGTCTCAATGCTCTTGACATACAGATGCTTCCCAAGCACTTGACAGGCACTTAAAGAACACTTTAAGGGCAAAGTGTGGAAGGGCCTTGCCACCTGCTGGTTCCACCCCTGCCACGCCTTAAGCAGATTCAGAATTCTAATTTTGTAATGAATTCGTTACTGAAAAACTGGCATGTCAGTTGAATACAACCAAATCCAATAAGCCAACTCTTCCTTCAGACTTCCTTCCAATTTGCAAGTTAAGTGGAGCAAGCCTCTGCATAAAACGTTGCAAGCTGATGTGTAACCCTACAACACCTTTCTTTCTTTATGCCCACTGCTTCTAAAAATTCCAAAAGCAATTCAGTGTGGGTACCTTCTCCTCTAGGGAAGGAGAAATGTTCCCGAAAGGAAGCCTTCCTTGACGTGATCTCCTGATTGGCACTACTACCAGAGGTAATGGGGCTGCAATTCCCAGAATTTCCAGGCTATGCTGGCTAAGAGTTGCAGTTTTAACGCATCTGGAAAGCATTAAGTCAGGGAAAGGCTATCAGGTCTGATGGAGGCATAGACAGCTGCCATAAAACTTTTGAAGACAGTGTGAGGACTTTGAAGACTTGTGGTTTGTTTAGTGTTGCCAGTGCTGGAAATTGCCATTTGGGTATTGTAAACAATTTGCTCCCAGGCAGCCTATTTATTTTGTTGTCATGGACCTCCTTAGCAAAATATATAATTCATTGAACACCATACAGAATGGTGAAATGTTCTGAGGACAGCTGGCCTTAAGGTCTTCAAGAAAAATACAGTTGATGTAAAATACCAAGAGTCCAGGGCTGGAGACTTTGGAGACTGACTAAAAGAACTTGGTCTTGTCAGCACATCAACTTGCCAGAGGAACCAGCTACTAGTTGCTTTCCTGCTAAGCTTAGCAACTACATAGAACTAGAGGACAGTACTGCAACTACTATTTCAACACAAGTCAGATTGGACAACAGCAATCTGCTATCCCTATAAATCAAGCCATGCCCAGATTGCAGATAACATCTCTCCCATATCTTGGCTCCTGTTGCAAGTTCCTCTGGGAATTGGCCACCTCCCCCCTTTTGTCACCACTTTCTCAGCTAATCATGGCTAAAGCTAAGGAGAGCAGTCATGAAAGTCCACATTTCTCTGCTATAAACTAAGTCAGAAGTGAACCTGTTGCCTTAATTAGCCATTAAGGTTTAGAATCACTAAGGTCTCATTCAGCTAGGCCAAAACTGACTGCTTCTAACACAGGCTCAAAACCAACCTGTAAGATGCAATTTGCAGGCTGAAGAATTGTCAAAACCATCTTCCCCACCAAGAAGCACTCCCGATGTGTGAGGATTACAACATCCATTATTCTCGGCCAACACAGGCATTACTTTTCAGACTGGTGCCTTCCAGATGTATGGAACACACATCTGGAAGACACCCAGTTAAATCAGCCAGTAGAATTGAGTGCTCTTCCTTCACCAGGGCTAAGCACCCTTCAGTGCTGCTTGTGATTTCCCATCTGGCTACAGTGTGCTGCAGATAAAGAGCAGAGGTGCTTCACCTCAAAATGCCCACAGAGTAGATATCTCCAAAGAATTTCTTGAGCTCCTTTTCCAGTCCAACCCATTTCTTCCTCATACTGTGGTTTTTGGCACAACCAATGACTTTTCCACTCCTTGAAAGTCCTCATCATTTCAACCGTATCCCAGTAGGTCCCAGAAGCCTTTATTAATCTCTGAGACTGGGAAATCAGAACAGGCTAATCCCAATAAAAGCCAACCACCTCCAATGCAGAATATGAATTAGGAATGGTTTTCCCACTCACTGACCTGCCAAGACAATATGGAAGGAATTCCCATGATGAATCAATGGCTTTCAATTATCTGGCCACTACAAATGAGTGATGTGACCGATTTACTGTTTTTCCTTATCACTTCAGGAATCAATGAATGGATGCTGGCTGATACACAAAATGGTACTGGTGAACAATCCCTTGGGTTCAGACAAAGGATACCCATCCAACCAAATCTCACCACCCAAGTTGTTGAGCCCCAAAGTCCCTGGTAACTTCACAGCATTTGATTACTCCATCTTGCCAGTGTAATTCTGTCCGAGGTTTAACATAGTGGTCTTTTTTATGTATATAATGCTGGTTAAATGGAGATGGTCACCAGCCCTATTCAGTTCCATTTGGCACAAAAGGACTTTTAAATTGGTAGCCATGTTCCATATTACAAGATTGCAGGTGATACGATGCAGAAGGGCTCATGAGCAGTTGTAGGCAACTTCCTGAAGAATGGTTCCTCCCACCCCACCCCACCCCACCCATCCTCTCAATTTGGCACAGAGGGTCCTTATAAGGAACATATCAGAGAGTGGAAGGGAGGCTGGAAGGGGACAAGGGTTATACATTCAAAAGCCAGTGCGGAGCAAGGGCCTCTAGCATTGAGGAGGTATCTTCCTCATCACATGGAGGCCTGAGACTGTTTGTACAAAAAGTTCTGCTTCCCTACCCTCCCCAGGCAGGGATGTGTCAGTGAGCAGGAGGAGAGCAAAAGTCCACATATGTCAGGTTCTAGTTAGCAATAATGGCCCCATGCCGTGCACGCAGATACACACGTGCACATGCACACACACACACATCTGTCAGTCTATCCACTGCAGGAAACGGATGTGTGGTAGCTTGGTATCAGCAGGTCAACTGGATGACTGGGTGCTGTCCCTGAATGTTGAGATGACAGGTGGCAGGATTGACCAATGTCTATCGATTCTCAGTTCTCAATTGCATCTGGAAGTTGGGGAGAAAGAGAAACTTCTTGTCACAGCACAGCTTGCACTACTTTTTTTAAAAGTGAAGATGATGATGATGATGATGATGATGATGATGATGATGATGATGATGATGATGATGA